GGACGTTTTGTTCAAACCCAGGAAATTGCAAAAATTGTATGATTTTTAAACGGTTTAATCTGTCCATGACTTCAGGAGAAATTATCACAGATTGTTCGAAAAGTTGAAACATAGCATCGATAGGTAATAGGACAAATATATATCTGAAAAATCAAGGTTAAAAACATATAAAATCAATAAAAAAGATAGTCATAAAAAGCACAACATACATATAGAGTACGCACAACATACATATAGAGTATGCACAACATACGCATAACATACGCATAGAGTACTCATTATTTATACACAGCGTACGCACATCCTACGCGCAACATTGACACAAATTACTCTATTTTAAAAGTTTGTTAGGGTTTAATTGATAAAATTTAGTTAGGATAGGTTTTAAATTTCAGCATAAACCCTAAATACAGAGAAAATACGATGACATCAAATATTTAAAAAGTTTTGAGAAGGAACGCATACGCATAGCGTAAGCATAAAATATGAAGAACTTCAAAACCCTAAACACATACGCATAGCATAAGCATAAAATACGCAGAACTTGAATAGAAAACATGCCAGCAAATTACCTTTCTCTTTAAGGGTGACGACATCTGAGAAGGAATTTAGTGAATGCTTGAAATTGCTCCGGAGTGAATACTTGAAACGTATGCCGAAAGTTGAAAACTGAAAAGCCGCGTGAACTGTGAAATATTTCTGCCATTTTACCTTTGCTAGGGTTTAAGTGTTGAAGCCAAGTCGACATTTCACTAGGCAATCCATGTCAGCAATTGGGGGGATCCAAACTGAACAAAAATATATTATGTTAGTTTTTTTTTTTTTTAGAGGCGGCGCCTCAAAACTGTGAGGCGAGGCGCGCCTTGAGGCGTGCCTTAGTAAACTTGAGGTGTACGCCTCAAAACCTGAACTTATTGCGTGGGTTTTGAGGCTTAAAGGGGCCATATTACACTAAGGCGCGCCTTTTATTGCGCAATTTTAAACCATGGTTCATCCATAAAATGCAAATATTTTCAAATAGAATGATCCCAAACACCCCAATGATGGCCGTATTGAATGTAAATCTCAACCGGAGGGGTTAATTTCAAATATTTCAAATTCCACCCAAATACTCACAAAAATAAAAAAATCTCAAAATCCCAAAGACATTTAAAACTGAAATCCATCCATTAAACACTTAAAGTAAAACCTATGCACCCTCCGCAATAATTTTCCGGGTGAATGAATTGAAATTTACTTCAGCTCACATAAAGCTAATGCTTAGTCGAAAATATAACTAGGATTCATTCTCAAGCAATGTCCTACCAGTAAGTGCATGGTACGTGTCCTCTAGTCGGTGGTTTTGTCGTCAAATGACACCACAAGATAAACGGTTATGACCCGGGGCCTTTTGAACCGAGTGGTTTTGCCAATAAATGGGACCACTAAATACCGAGGCATCAAATATTTGAGATATGAATCTATAGGATATGATCGATAGGGCACAAAGTCCTCTGTTAGCTAAGTTGGATTCAAATTTGTCCCCTTAGATAAATATTCACCTGGGACGAAGCAACCCATGGCTGCTGAAAAGGATCCTTTTGTCTGGTTGGGTCGACTGCCTCCTCTGACTAAGTAGACTAGGGACCACGATGACTCGGGACGACGAAACCATGTGATCTTGATCGGGTCTATCATCCATTCCCTCACCATCTGCTTTAAGTGCAAGATGGTGAAATTTCAATTTTAAACATTAACCATTCAAATTCTTAAGTCTATGCTGCTACTATATGCCAGATAACACGTATTCTCTACGTATCTGATTGAAGACAAGTCTTAATCGAAAGTTTTCTCTCGTGATCGGGAGGGGTAATTAACTATAGGGGCTTGCGCCTATAGGTAACTAGAACTCAGATCATAAAGTCCTTGTAAAATGAGGGCGAAATCTCTAGGTAGTGTCTTATCTACAATTCCATCTGCCTTCCAAATTTACCCTGAAACTTAATCCGTTAAAACTCCACCGAAGAAAAAGCATAGCGGGCTGAGGCCGAGGCCGAATTTTCAGAGCCCACATTATGGAAGAATTTCTTCTCATTTAATTTGTAGAAAGTGATTTGGAGCGATGTGTGCCCCACGGAAGCTCTGAATGATGGTATGAATTAATAAGATAGAGGGGAATCAATCTTTCCTTTTTTCTTAGACTGGTTAGGGCCCTTTTGTAGTTGCCAACCATTGCTTACACAAAACCAAGCTTTAATACCATGTAAGAAAGAAGGATGTAGAAGCAAAATAGAGAGACAGAAAAAGTGGAATACTTTATGTACCTTGTTGGCTGAAATATGGCTCCTAATGTGAGGTTTATAGTGAGGAAAGACTTAACATATCCTAATAATAAAAGAAAGTTATATAATGCGAGAATTTTTTAATTGAAACCTACTACATAAAAATATCAACAATCTTAGAGTTGTTGCCGAAAGCAATGACTATATCCCTCACCTTAGCAATCCGTGGGCCATCATTCCTTGAATGCCAGCAGGAGCCCATTTGTTGTCGTAGCTTTCCTTCCATCTAGGGATGTTCATGAAATGTCATGCCATATCGGGAAGAGGGAAAGGGGGCAGCAAGCTGCGGCATTCAACAAATTACCTTTCTTGAAATATGGTACTTGAATTCAATGCTCCTCTTGAATGAATTCATGGTAGCACCATATGAGAACCATCACAAAATCCATAAATAACAAAAATTAAATTAGCTATATGATTTATTCAACTGCCATACCATTGATTATGCCAAAATAAGTCATGATGATTTGCTTAGCCTCAAAACTCATGAATTTAGCTCACCCTTGACCTAGGCAAAACATTCTAAATAAAAATTTTTAAATTGGCATGTTTAAATTATTATCAAAATTATCTTTGAAGTAATTTAAGCTGTCTAGGTAAATAATACAATGATAAACATCATACAACTAATTTTCTAATTTAGTGGAAGATCTATTCTTCAATTACCTAGCAAAGAGTATCAAGAACAATTTCAATGACTTAAACTAAACAAAGATGATAAAGAAGTTGCAAAAAATATTGCAATGGACGGGAAGAAGAATAGTGTCTCAACTTTGAGAAGAGGGCCGACACTGATTTTGTAGCTGGAAGTTGCTTTCAACGAAGGACAAAGAATTAATGAGCGAGAGAAGGTGCCTATAACAATGTGGGTAGAAGAACAATGATAACTTAGAATAAGATGAAGATGGGATACAATCGACAATGGTGTTTAGAACAAAATTACGGTGATAGGAATGAGAGATCTCAATGGAACACATTGCTATTAATGAATTTGCGAGAAGACGCATGCAATGGTGAGGAAAACTTATGATGATGAGACGGGGGGAATCTTATATTGTGGAGCCTATTTTTTTGGCCTATAAAGAAAACGTGACACATAAATTTCGTTGCTAGTTGTCTTTCATGATAAGGTTGCTATGGAGATTGGATGGGGGTTGAGCCTCTCAAAAGTTTCTAATATTTGTGGGTTATTTCCTTCTGGTGTAAAAGCTTAAATAGCTCACCGATTATTAATAAATGTCCAATTTAGTCCCAAAGTTTTGCATTGTCCCATTTTAGTCTCTCGACTATTAGAAATGATCCTATTTAGTCCCTATGTTAAATTTCTCATTCAAATTGATGGAAGAAGACCAAAAGCATTCGGTTTCTTTGGGGTATTTTAGTAAAATACTTCTTTACCTAATCCCTCGCTTTCCTGTTATAATTTTATGGAGACGGAACTAGCGATCGAATGATGTGAGGGGAAGACTTGCAGCTGCCAGAAAGGCGACGTGCTGGACCATACAGGGACCACAAGCGTGACGACCAACTATTCGAGCAAGATGTCACAGATGCGCTGCAAGTGAGATGCTAGATGTTGCGAGTGACACGGTGTGAGTGAGAGGACAAGCGACCGCGAGCGGTAGCCTGAGGAGACGGCGAGCAATTTGCTTCTCACGATCAGAGACAGAGACTGCCGCGTGCTAGTGCAAGCGATCACCATGAGATTCGACACCCAGAGACAGAAAATAATGCAATGTAAGAAATATAATCTCATATCCACTTGTGATGGGTAAAATATTCATATTTAACTTTGAAGTTAATTTTAACTCTTATTTTAGGCTCTGAGATTAAATTGACTCAATTTCTGATAGTCGAGGACTAAAATGGGGTAATGTGAAACTTTAAGACTAAATTGGATATTTATGAATAATAGGTGAACTATTTTGAGCTTTTACTCTTTCCTTATGGGTATTTTGGGAAATTGTATTGCATTTTTTATTATAATTTTTTTTTAAAATAAAGACGAGATGATATTATTTTAGATGGACTTAGATTTGTAAAACTCTGCAATCAATCCATAGTGAAATATGCAATTGCATGTATTCATTGATTGGGTGAACGTATTTGAAATTCTTGGTGTATTTTATGCGTTGATATTTTTCATTTTTTGTTCTTTTCACTCTTGGTGATTGAATTAGGTTTTGGCTATTTCTTTGCCAAAGAAAAGGCGTGACTGTCTGGCAATGAAGAAGGAATAGGTATTGCATTATATAAGAAAGAGGAGTAACCCTAATCCTATTTCTTATGTTGCAACAGCTGCATTAAAACAAGCTCTCAGTAAATCAAGATGAGGGCAATGACAACCTTGGCCACACAGGGTCAGAGAATTAGTTTTCATTTTTTTTAGTACTTCTTTTGTTCGGTACGCCTTTATGCATTGGACAAGGATAATCGTGATGCATTGTGGTCCAGCGAACCCATTGTGTAAGCTTAAAAAATTTAGTGAGTCATATGATTGCTTCAATAAATTTCTTTTTGGTTGTAGAATGCTCCAAAAAGAAAGAAATTAAACTTTCAAATGATAGGGAGAAGAATAATTTTGATAATTCAGATTTTATGCAATTAGATGGTGTTACAATACCTGCCATTCTTGATAATTAGTTGTGGTTGATAAGAAAATTGAGTGTCCTTGTGCAGATGGCTGGGATTGACAAGAACCAGGCCTTTGGAATGAGTCAAATGGAGAATGGTAATGGGAATTATGGGTCCTTGACAATCCCAGTAGATGATAGCACTGTGAGGTTGGAAATGCCAAACGGCATGAAGATAATGGTCGAGTCATATGGTATACCTTGCATGGTGGAGATATTCCACTTCTTGTGTTCTCTATTGAACATTGTTGAACAGATTGGGATAAGTCCCAGGACAAACCCAATGGCTCTGGATGAAGATGTTCCTCTTTTTGCTCTTAGGATGATCAACTCAGCTATTGAATTGGGGGGGTCTTCAATAAGCAGGCATCCTAAGCTACTTGCTTTGATACAGGATGAGCTTTTCAGGAATCTAATGCAGTTTTCCCTGTCAATGAGTCCACTAATCCTGTCCACTGTGTGCAGTATTGTTCTTAACCTTTATTGTCACTTGCGCATACAGCTTAAACTTCAGATTGAAGCATTCTTCTCATGTGTTATCTTGAGGCTAGCACAGGGTAAGTATGGGGCTAGTTTCCACCAGCAAGAAGTGGCTATGGAAGCTCTTGTGGACTTCTGCAGGCAGAAGACTTTCATGGCAGAAATGTATGCCAACTTGGACTGTGACATAACTTGCAGCAATGTTTTTGAAGACCTTGCTAATCTTCTCTCAAGGAGTGCCTTCCCTGTCAATTGCCCGTTATCTACAATGCATATTCTTTCTTTGGAAGGCCTTATTGCTGTAATTCAGCGGATGGCTGATAGAATTAGCAATGCACCACCTAGGTCACGGCAAGCTCTACTGGAGCTAGATGAGTATACTCCATTCTGGACAGTGAAGTGTGAAAACTATTCTGATCCTGAGCAATGGCTAAAATTTGTTCGTTGCAAAAAGTACATCAAGAGAAGGTTAATGATTGGGGCTGATCACTTCAATAGAGATCCAAAGAAGGGTCTCGAGTTTCTGCAGGGAAACCATCTTTTGCCAGAGAAGCTGGACCCTCAGAGTGTGGCATGCTTTTTCAGATACACTGCTGGATTGGATAAAAACCTTGTTGGGGATTTCCTAGGAAACCACGATGACTTCTGCGTACAGGTTCTTCATGAATTTGCTGGTACCTTCGATTTCCAGGATATGAATCTGGATACAGCTTTAAGGCTCTTTCTGGAGACTTTCCGCTTACCTGGTGAGTCACAAAAGATACAAAGGGTGCTTGAAGCTTTCTCTGAGAGATATTACGAACAGTCACCTCATATTTTAGCTAATAAGGATGCCGCCCTGTTATTATCATACTCGCTCATAATGCTCAATACAGATCAGCACAACGTACAGGTAAAGAAGAAGATGACAGAAGAGGACTTCATTCGGAACAATCGTCACATTAATGGTGGGAATGATCTTCCCAGGGAGTACTTGTCAGAGCTTTACCATTCTATATGCAAGAATGAAATAAGGACCACTCCTGATCCAGGTATCGGATTTCTGGAAATGTCCCCAAGCCGTTGGATTGATCTGCTGAGGAAGTCCAGAAAAACTTCTCCTTATATTGTTTGTGATTCGCAGCCATACCTTGATCACGATATGTTTGCCATAATGTCAGGCCCTACAATAGCTGCTATTTCCGTGGTATTTGATTATGCAGAACATGAAGATGTTTTTCTGACCTGTGTGGATGGCTTCTTGGCTTTGGCTAAAATATCTGCATACCATCATCTTGAAGATGTTTTAGATGATCTTGTTGTATCACTATGCAAGTTCACAACCCTACTGAACACATCGATGGCTGAGGAACCAGTTACAGCATTTGGTGATGACACCAAAGCTAGACTGGCAACTGAGACGGTTTTTATCATTGCAAACACTTATGGTGATCATATACGCACTGGTTGGAGAAACATCCTTGATTGTATCTTAAGACTGCACAAGCTTGGCCTTCTTCCTGCACGTGTAGCTAGTGATGCAGCTGATGATACAGAGCTGCTTGCAGATGCAGCTTATGGGAAACCTGCTGTTAACTCTCTCTCTGCATCTCATATTCCATCAATGGGTACCCCTCGCAGGTCTTCTGGGCTGATGGGAAGGTTTAGTCAGTTACTATCTCTCGACACAGAGGAACCAAGGACACAACCAACTGAGCAGCAACTGGCAGCTCATCAGAGAACCCTTCAGACAATTCAGAAGTGCCACATAGATAGCATATTCACGGAGAGCAAGTTCCTTCATGCTGATTCACTGTTGCATCTTGCCAGAGCCCTTATCTGGGCAGCTGGTAGGCCTCAGAAGGTCACCAGTTCACCTGATGATGAGGATACGGCTGTTTTCTGCCTGGAGCTGCTCATTGCCATCACATTGAATAATAGAGATAGAATTTTTCTTCTCTGGCAGGCTGTGTACGACCACATAGCCAACATAGTCCAGTCTACTGTGATGCCTAGTGCTCTTGTGGAGAAGGCAGTATTTGGTATACTCAGAATTTGTCAGCGGCTACTTCCATATAAAGAGAGCCTGGCTGATGAGCTTCTAAGGTCACTGCAGTTAGTCTTAAAGCTTGATGCTCGTGTAGCTGATGCTTACTGCGAGAACATCACACAGGAAGTCTCACGTTTGGTGAAAGCAAATGCTACTCACATTAAATCCCATATGGGTTGGAAGACAATCACTTCCCTACTGTCCATCACTGCTCGTCATACTGAAGCTTCAGAGATTGGTTTTGAAGCACTAGTGTTTATTATGTCTGAAGGGTCTTACCTATCACCAGCCAACTATCTTCTTTGCATTGAAGCATTACGCCAGTTTGCAGAATCTCGTGTTGGACTCACTGATCGATCAACACGTGCACTGGATCTCATGGCTGAGTCCATCACCTGTCTTATTCGTTGGTCTCAAGAGATTAAAGATGCAGGGGAGGAATCTGAGAAATTGTCTGAAGGAATTCGGGACATGTGGCTCAAGCTTGTTCAAGCCCTGAAAAAGCTGACACTGGATCAGAGAGAAGAAGTAAGAAATCATGCCATGTCATCATTGCAGAAATGTTTGTTGGAAGTTGATGGGATTTGCCTGTTGCCTTCATCTTGGTTGCATTCTTTTGATATTGTTATATTTATGATGCTTGATGACTTGATTGAAATCGCTCAGAGCCAATCACAGAAGGATTACCGAAACATGGAGGGAACACTCATGCATGCCGTGAAGTTACTCTCCAAGGCATTCTTGCATCTATTACAGGAGCTTTCTGGACTGAGCAGCTTCTGCAAACTATGGCTGGGGGTTCTTAGTCGCATGGAGAAGTACATGAAGGTTAAAGTTAGAGGCAAAAGAAGCGAGAAGATCCAAGAGTTGGTCCCTGAATTGCTGAAGAATATATTGCTTGTGATGAAATCAAAGGGGATTCTTGCAAAAAGGAGCACAATAGGTGGTGACAGTTTGTGGGAATTGACATGGCTTCATCTAAATAACTTTGCTCCATCTCTGCAATCAGAAGTATTTACTGGCGAACTGGAACTGGATTCCAGTAATCACACACAATCTGATGGAAGTCATTCTGCGGTTGTAGAGGAAGGCAGTCCGTCAGGTTGAAGGATAAGAGGTTTTCCTTTGGTTGCTTTATCATTTACAAATCTTAATCGTCGGGAGCTTTGATGCGGGTATTATTTTTGGCTAACTGTCTGTGGCATTGTAAATTTTAGATGGTAAGCTGGCTGCTTGTTTTGCTATGCTTTTTAATGGGAATTGTTCCTTTTAAATTAGTTATATAGTACTTAAATAGCAATTAACTCTCAGTCAGGTTTTTAAGGTACTCCTTTCTATTTATCTACGTACTGCTTTTGCCTGCAGTATTATCACATGATCAATTTAAGTTACAATTTTGATAAAAAGAAAGACAAATTATTATTATTATTATTATTTATTACTGCTCCTTTCTACCCATCCTTGGTATATACTTCTTTCTGATGATATTCTTCTTGTTGATATAAGTAGAGGAGTTGATTAAATACTTGAATTATGGAGGTCAATTTTAGAGTCTAAAAATTTTTGTTTGAGTAGATCTAAAATGAAATACATGAAGTGTAATTTTAATAGTAATAGATCTAATGGTGAGATTGTGATATTTGGTGCTTAAGTCATTAAAAAGAGTGTACATTTTAGATATCTCGGGTCCATTGTTTAAAGCAATGGTGAACAGATGGGGATATTATTAGTAGAATTTAAGTTGGATTGTTGAATGGGGAATGCATCAGGCCGGTTGTGTGATAGAAATGTATCCCTCAAATTTATGAGAAAATTTATAAGTTGTTGTTGAGACCTGTAATACTTTATGGAGCTTAATATTGGCCATTAAATGAGAATCATAAAATTTAGTGTTGCAGAGATGAGGATGCTTTGGTAGAGTGGCTTTACACTTAGAGATATAATGATATATATATATATATATATATGTGTGTGTGTGTGTGTGTGTGTGTGTGTGTGTGAGAGAGAGAGAGAGAGAGAGAGAGAGAAAAGGTTGGGGTAGCTCCAGTGGCAAATAAGATTAGAAAGTCGTTGTAGATGGTTTGGTCACATAAAATGTCAGCTTTCGGATGACCTTGTTAGGAGAGTGGATATATTAGATCCGATCTATATTAAGAAAGATAGAGGTAGATCTAAAAATATTTGGCTAGAAAGTATTAAAAATGACATTTTTTTTTAATTAGCTCTAAATGAGAATTTGACTGTCAATAGGAAACAATTGAGAAAAAAGATTTACATAGCCAACTCTATATAGTAGGATAAATTCTTATTGTTGTTAATTATATTACTGCCAAAAACCAGTTTCAATATATGACATATGTAGAATGTTAACCACAGCATACTTCCAACAACACTCAACTTTAACAATGTTCAGAACATTTGCAATATTTACATCGAAGAGAAAATGTACTAAATAGCTCATTTTTGAATCTTCTGCTGCAAACCAAATGCACTACCACTCGTTACATCTTCACAATTGCATATTATTTTATTTTAATTTCCATTTTATTTCTACCAACATACTCGGAACATGCATCATTTCTGATGCGATGCATTATAAGAAGAGGTTCGTACCGCAACTACGCACCTTTATTTTAAGCTCTTTGTCCTTTTTCAGTTATCTTTATATATTACAACTTTATGATGTATTAGACAAATGTGGTGAAGGACCTTGACATACATATATGCATACATATATTGAAGAGAAAGAGAAGAAAGATGGGCAATATAGTTTTCATTAGCATTTGTTCTCTGTTTTGTTCCTTGCTATCTTCCCATTCCTATTGCTGCTAACTGGAAGCTACCATGTCATTATTGGTATCTGAGCATGATTGCGGAAGGGAATTGTCGAGTAGCTCTTGATGGAGATTGGTGCTTAAATGCATTGTGGGCAGCGCATACAGACAGTGAAACAGTGAGACGAATTCTCATCTGAATTCATTTATTTCTCAGTTGAAATGAGAAGATAGTTATATGCTATCTAAACGGGTGAAGGTATCAATCCAATTTTCCAACAAGCAGCACCATCAGCCACGTTGGCAACTCGAGGAATTGTCGATGGCAAATGTGATGCCGAAATATGAGTCGGAAGGAGATTATGATTTGTGACATGTTGAATTATCTCCTTAGTAACTCAATCAGATGTCTTCAAGATAAATACCTTAGAAATTAGAGTGAATTTCATGTTAAATTGTTATTTCATTTTTTTTTTTTTTTATGATAGTTTACCTATTGAAGATTATCTTGATTGGGAGAGAGCCATATAAACTTTCTTCGAATATATGAATATATTCGAAAATAGAGCCGGAAAAGCAAGCGAAATATGTGGCTTGTCATCTACAAAGAGGCTCGAGCGTTTGGTGGTTGCAACTATTACAAACGTGATGCCGCCAGGGAAAAGGAAACATTCAAATCCACTAATATAGTTATTAACTCATTGCATTTGTTGTCTGTTTTGGTCCCTGCTGTTTTCCCGTTCTTGTTGCTGTTAACTGGAAGCTACCAAGACACTTATCAAAATTACAGCTAATTCAAAACTTTACAATTTACGTTGCTGATAAAGGATTGAAAGATAAAAACTTCATTCGATATAGTTATACAAAGGGCTTCTATCCAATGTAGTAGAAAGGGACGAGAGCTGTTGTTATATGACATCGAAGTCATTAGGTGCTTGCATGGGCATGCGTAGGCAATAAGTTTTCATGTAGATGTTCTCGTATGCTGAGTGCTTTTGTACGAATTTTATGTAGCTTGTCCATTTATATTGCTTGTAATGAATAAAAATGTTGAAGCTTATTCATGTAATATTGGGTCTCTATGCTTACCCTGTATGCTTTATATAAAATTTAGGAGTGCTGAGATCTAGCTAATAATGTAGATCGAACTAGCCGGTGAATTTTATCAGCTCATGAAAAGGGTGAACCTCTGAGCTGGTAAAATAATTCTAAGGCACACTGATTAGAAAAGAATGTTCAATATTATGAATTAAAGTCGAACTAGCCCCCCACCCACAAAAAAATAAATAAAATGGACCACCGATCCTCATCAGTCTGTAATAATTGCTTCATCAGTAAAGATTTAGGATGCAACACGACAGCTTTAACTGAGCAGCAACATTGCATCATAGCCTGATAATCCTCATCTAGTATTCTGACTAAGAGAAAGCTGCAAGAAGAATAGCATACTTCCTGCTGTGCGTAGGTTTTTATTAAATTGATTGGAAAATTGTAATGAGAACAATAATTTAATTATTCTGTTAATAAAAAATAATTTTTACATTTTCACCATTTTCTTTTTTAAAGGAAATAGTGAAAAAAAGCAGCAAAAAAATAACCAAAAGAAATTATAATTATTGTTTAAGAATAAAATAGAAACAAAATAAATGATACCGAATGGATTCTTAATTGAATGAGCAAGCAATTTAAAATCCCTTTTAACAAGCCCAACAACAATGCAATTGGATGGAAAAAATTAAAGATTGTGGTAGATAATCGACAACATATAGGACAATGAAAAAAATGGTTCATGCAATTATCCTATGTAATAGGATAAAAGCTTGATCCTATGTAATAGGATAAAAGCTTGATGTTATTGTTGTTATACACGCCCCGTCAATTAATATCACTAGCATTATGGTTGAGAATCAAATGACATTCTAAAAAATGAAGCCACGTCAATTAATCAAAGCTATTAAATAAAAGGAAATCACAATATATATATATATATATATATATATATATAAAAGGCTGCGAAATGTAGAAATCACAGGATGACAATATCTTTATTCATGACCAAGTTTACAGGAAGACAGCATCTTAACAGGGGCACAGTCCTTGGCTAGAAGCCTGTAAAAAAAGGGGAGCTCGGCTAAAAAAACATCCCAATGAGAGTTGTCAAGGCGAGCTAAAAAATCAGCTGCCATTACCAAGCCCCCCCAACAAAACTCAGGCTTCCAAACGGAGCTGCGCACATGCGATCAAACAAGACAACCAATCAAGCCATACAAAACCAACATAGAACTAAGCATGGCATTGCACCTAACAACTGGAATAATATTAGAAAAACTGACTCAGAACACGACCAACCAGCATGGTCAAATATGAGGAGCATGGCTAAACACCAGAACCCTATATAAAAAACCCCACTAGAAATGACACATGAGTATATAAATATGCTAAACATGAGAGTACTGAAAAGCCACTATGAACCAGGACAAGGAATAACTATAACTGCTATCTCAGGAACCAAAGATGAGCAAGGGAAAACACACCAATTGATGTCAGCCAAACCCCTCAGAAACAGATCTCTCCCTTGCGAAGAGATTCTGCGAAAATAAGAGAGAATGGCAACAATCCCCGGAAAACTCACCTCATCCTGGCAGAAAAGTACTGTGAAAATATAGAAGCTCACGGATAACTGCGATGAGCCAAAAACAACCTAGCGGACTGCTTATACTACCAACCCCCTTTTTTTTTTTTGTTGGGAACTTAATAAGAACACACAAATCATGATTTGATTCTAGTCTTCCAACCTTCCGTTCTCCTTTCATTCAGAACTAGGAGAGGATGTCACACCACCAAAGCTTCTCCTCAAAAGATCCAACCACATGGGTATTGATCAGCTTGCACTGTTGAAGATTCAACCCCTCCAAGGATTCTTTCATTTTTTCCAAGAATGAGAGGCTCTTCTTTGTAACTTCAGCGCAACCAGCAAGAGAAAGGGTCCGGAGGTTTAGCTGCTTGGCAGATGCAATTGCTGCAACTCCGAAGTCACTGATGCTGCAACAGGAAACATCAAGGTCCTTCAGCACTGAGCAATTTGCTGAGATAGAAAGGAGGCTTCTATCAGTGATCCCCTTACACCCCTTAAGACTAAGAAACTTCAGGGAACTTCCATGTGCCTTAACCAGAGAAGAAATACTTGCATCAGATAAACTCACACACCCTTCAAGGTTCACCTTAACGAGTTCAGACTGAGAGCACTCTAATAGCGGAAGAATCCCAGCATCTGTCACACCAACAAGCCTGGTCAAGTCAATTTGTTGCAAGCTGGGGCAGAGCTTGCCAACCATGGACAAGCTACAGCTGGTAAAACCAGGACAATCACGAATTGTCAAGTACTTTAGTGACATGCATGTCGGAAGCTCCTCCAGATGGCAAGAAATGTCTTTGATTCCCAAGCACTTTACTAACGCCAGACCCCTGAACCTAGAACAACAGTTCAGAAGGCTTTCAAAAACACCTACGAGTGTAATCCCATTACATTCCTCTAGTTGCAGTCTCTCAAGCATTTTTGCAGGGCCAGTGAACGATTTAAGCCCAGCATCAGAAAGGTTCGGGGACCTCTTGATGCACATCATCTTTAGACGTGGGCAACCCTTGGCAATAGCTTCTAAACCCCGATCTGTAGCACCAGGGCAACAGGAGATTGTGCAAGATGTCAAGTTCACCAAGTTAAGGGCATTCCCCATAACCCAGAAGCCCCTCTCACTTACATTCTGCAGAGCATTAAGAGATATGTTGGTGACAGCCTTTCCATAATGCCCAATGACAGCAAGTGTAACATCACTAATATTCACATTCTGAAGCTTTATCTTCATTATGGACGAAGACGCATGAGCAACCAAGCTAGAAACTCCTTTGTCACCCACAAGTGGGCAGTCTTTGATTGAAATAGAAATTAGCTTCGAGCAACCATGGCCAAGAGCTTGGAGACCATCATTGCAGATGCTTGAGCAGGAATCTATTGTCAGAGAGGTCAAATTCGGACACTTTTGCGCAATAGCAATCAATCCCTTGTCAGAGATCAAGGGACATTGGCAAAGATCAAGGTTCTCCAGCAAGGGGCATCCATCAGCTATAGCCGCAAGCCCTGCATCAGTGATCAATGGAACCTTCCAGATTGATAAAACACGGAGTAAAGGGCAACCGCGTCCAATGGCAGAGAGCCCAGCATCAGTAACCTTGCAAGTTGAATTGCCTCCTCTAATCTTCAGTTTGCCAATCCCACCACGACTAGAATTACTGACTGCAATTGCAGCTAGTCTAACATCAGTTGCTTCCTCTGCTTCCAAGCATCTAGTTATATACCCACCACTCTCAATGCTAGAGTTCAGCTCTGATACCAAAGGCTCGGGATAATTAAGATCGGGAAGAGGTTTTCTAGAAGATCTCAATAAATTTTCTCCCTTTTGCACCACATCCATGTCTTCGGAAGGTTGGATGTTGCTCAGTAGCATGAGCCATCGTTTGGATACACATGCAGCAATGCTCCTCTCCTGGCTTCTTGGAAGCCTTCTGAGGATCTCAAAAAGACATTCGTCGGGGAGAGCATCAATGGAACAGCAGGTCAGCTGCTTTTTTAATAGAGGAGCAGTCTTCATCAATTCTTCCCCAATGATGGAAGGTGCAGTGACCCGGGACCTCTTCCAAGAAGAATAACAGACATCCACGGTTGGTGCAAGTGACAAGAAGAGACTTGAGTCCATGAAATGTGAGCAAAACATTCCCCTGAGCCGGATTTCATCATCACCTGATATTGCAAAAGCAGGAAGATAAACAATCCATTCAGAAATAACCATTTGAATTCTATCCTAGTCCAGATAAAATGAAGATGGATATGAAGCAAAGCAATCAACAGCAGAAATAGTCAAATCGCCACATAGGAAAAAAGGGGAAGTATTGAAATATTAAACCGTTACAAATGAAAAATAAAAATGAGTGGAGGGGTTAAACAACAAGGCACGAACAGAAACATAACGGGAGAAGAAACGATTATGAGATTTCCTTAAATTAGAACATTTACACTTGCCATATAGAATAATCAAAGTAAAGAACATATGAAGCAGTGGAAAAGATTCAAATTTCAATATTAAAACCCTAATAAAAAAAAAAACAAAAGAAACCCTCAACATGAATTGATCTGCAGATAAAAAGAGATAAGGTTTATACCTGACATGCCAATAAAAATTTAAACCGTCCAAAGAAAGTTTATTCATTCATTAAAAGTTATCTCATAGATCCAATAAAGAAAATGGATGAATGTAAATGAAGAAATGAACGGAAATTCGTGCAGTTACGAGCTCGATTTTGAACATGCCCTTCTAACTCTAGATCCCCCACCTCCTTTCAGTTTCCTTTCTCTCAAATTCGAAACATACAATAAGGTTTACAAAAAAAAAAACATATACGTATCTTAAAAGGAATCCTCTACCAAAACGAAAGTCAAATAACACGAAAAACTGACGGATTCGTAATATAAAAATAAAATAAAATAAAAAACAGCGGTTGATGCATATCGATCAGATACGCAATCCCCCTTGGCTCTGATAGTCAAAAAAATTCTTACCGGGAAAGTTGAGAAGCGCCGCCATGGGTGCTGACTAAACAAGATCAATAACCCCGACGCACCCTGAAAAGATGCCTGAAGAAGCAAGCAAATCACGACCAACAAAACGGAAAGAAAATTAAAGCGAGCAGCCGATTGCATCACAGCTCCCGCCGCGCTCACGAAATCGTAAACCCTAATAGGGCAAAAAACGAGCCGCCGAGTTGAAGGGCTGATGGAAGACAGGGAGATAAGGTGGTGGTGGTAATGATCTTACTGTTCTGAGTGCTTTAATTTCTTATATTGCCATCAGAGACAGCTAAGAGAATCAAAGGGGACTGGCTGAGCGTACCGATGGATCGGACGGATGGAATGATTTCTTTTTTAATTTGCAAATTGTAATTTGAAATTATGCAACTTGGGCAGATACATGGAACTTGCCAGCTCTCTCTCTCTCTCTCTCTCTCTCTCTAAAATGTGCAATGTATCTTTAGCTTTCCGCGTTCTGTTTTTTAAGAGGAAAATAATTTAAGGACATATAACTACATAAGCGGAATTGCTGTAGGCTTAATGGCCTCTCATTCATTTATTAATTATGCAAAACTTAAAACAGTAGATTTTAAAGGGCAATTAATGATTTAACTTTTTCACTCAATGTGATAATCAGATATAAAAATTTATTAATTTTATTTTGATTAAGAAAAAATGGATCAATTTTTTTATAAATAAAAATTTAAAATTAATTAGAGTATCTCAAAACTATGATACGTGATTATTTTTTTAGTTGCAATAAATAAAATTTTCAAATTTATTTTTTAATAATATGTGTATGCAAGGATGTCCGTCAATTATTTGATGAAGATGTAAATTACTATAAAGGTTATTTTTTTTCCTTGATCATTTGAGGGAGGATATGTGATTGTTGGAAAAAATGTAGATAGAGAAATACGATTTAATATATCTTATAATATATATAATTAACTAATTATATCCTACATTTATTTTCTTGAAGAAATAAATCTAAAAGTTACTTTTATATGGAATTACTCTTCTAATGGCAATATAAGGTATAGTCTTTAATGATATTATAAATGCTCCAATGAGATAGCTATTAAAATATCCCTATCTTCCAAGCAATAAGACTATCTTCCAAGCAACATTTGTCGTCGACTTCGAGTGATCCCTACATAAAGTTTCACTTTGAACTCCTTTAAACGAAGATAGCTAGTGTTCATATTTTTTTAGTCATATTTAAATGTAGCCATAAATCCATGATTATAATAAGAAAATGATAAACATAGTGTCATAACCCAACCTAATATGACCTAGGGACAAGACATGTCATATCACATTGGATAATGATAGATCAAGCATAAAGTCAAAGTTTAGGTGGCTTTTCATTTTTTTTTAAATTATCATACCACGAAGCTTCTAATTAACTTCTAGTAAGTAGAAAAAGTAAATGTATCAATAAAATTTCATTCACTACATTCATCACCAAAATATTTATACATCACCAAAATTTCATTCACTACAATTCTGTTTAGATTTGGGTGGAGAAGGCGATTTGGGCGATTTTGGTGGAGCTTTGGCAAAAGGAGGTTCTCCGTCGGCCCGGTGTGGCTGACGGAGGTCCTTGGTGGGGATTTTCTTCTGAATCAATATTTGTTTTGCTTTTGGCTGAAGGCTTTTTTGGTGGTGCAATTAATCGAAATGCAATTTTGGTAGATCTCCTGCGTTCAGAGGATCTACGTTGGCATGGAGTGGCCGATGGATATACCCTAAAGACCTGATTTGTTTTGGATGAAGATGATTTTGGCATATCGACATTCCTGAGGGCAATTTGGGCGGAACTTTGCTTGGTGAAGGTTCTCCGTCAGCTTTGTGTGGATATTGTGTGTTCTTGGTATGGATATTCAGCTGGGGTAAGATCTAGTTCAATCTTGAATGGTTTTGGTGGAACTATAAATCTAAAGGGGATTTTGGAGGATAATCTTTGTCAGCACAGTGTGGCCTTCGACAATTCTTGGAATGATTTTTCGGCTTCGTTATGATTTGTTCTTCCAAGTGATAATTGGTGTTTGGATTTGTTCGCGTTTATTATTTTTCTTGATTTCAGATTTGGTTTGATTATATTCCTAGTGTTTGATCTCTTCAGGTTTACGAATGTGTTGTGTGTATTGGTTTTTAGCTTATAGAGGCGATTTTTACTATTCTGAAGATCTAGTGTTGATCTTCCGTCTTCTTTTTAGGACTATTATTCATAATTTGAGGAATGGAATTTAGGATGTTAGCGTAATCTTTGAAATTTGGAGTATATCGTATGGTTTCTTAAAGACTCTTGGAGATTATGCTGTTACCACTTGGCAAAGTTGTGTCGTTGTTTCTTTAGCTGTTTGAAGGATGTATTCATCTAATTTTGAGGTAGTAGAGGTTTTGTTTCTTGCGGTTTGGTTATTGAATGCCAGCGTTGTTACAGTTTTTTGGTTGTATTTGTTTGGTGAGTCCATGGAAGATATTTTGTCTTCCTAGTTGTTCTGTTGATGGGATGAAGTGGAATTCTGTTATATATAAGCTAATGGTTGAAGAAGATGTATGTTTCAAGCGGATTGTATTATGGATGTCGTTGTTACTGTAGTCATTTGGATGGCTATGATTGGATCTTCCATGGAAGATAGATCAGAACTTCATAGGTGTTATGGTGAAGCCTTAAAGTGGGAAATCATTCTATCAAAGGCTATATAGAGGTCAATGGTTTGTTTTCAGAAGTTCAAGGCTTGTTTGTAGTAGGCTTGAATGATGCGGAGATTGTGGATATTGGAGATTTTGATGTTGTGAAGTTCTTGTGTTCTCAAATGGCTGTAGAATTTCTTTTACAAGTCATTGTTATCTTTTTGGAGAGTTGTCATGTTTCTTTTAGTGAGGTTTTTAGCATAATTTCTTATTTGCAATATGAAATTAGATTAATGGAATTCTGAACTATTTCTATTTTTCACTTTTTACCTGATTGGAAACTCTGGGATACTAATCAACATATTTGGTTGTCTCATTTTTGGTGTCCCTAACACCCTAATTGATTTAAAGTGAGGAGTAGTGGATATTTTTTTTTTCATTATGATATTTTCTATTTTGCAAATATTTTTCTTATGCTTTATTTGCTTTTCAATAAGGCTTCCTTTTCCAATATTATGAAAGATATGCCTAATAGTTTATTTTAGTTATAGTTTGTAATAGTTTTTTCATGTACTCAATGCTATTTGCATTTCTTCACACACACACACACACACACACACAACAACAACAACAACTATACACAATGTATTGCTTCAAATCAAAATAGAACAAATAAATAAATAAATAGTTGTGACTATATAAATAATAATAATAAAAATCTATACACTCAAATAGATCAAAACATGAGACTACAGCTACTTAACTGGCTCTTTCCCCCTTCCAAAACCTGAAACAAATACAAAATAGAAATGTGCAAAACTGCTTAGTTGGTCTCATTCATTTATCTAAATTTTTAAATATTTCACTTATTATGCATTTAATTAAGTTTTAAAAGCAGTTAATAACAATTCATTATATTGAACAGAATAATGCTTGTAGTTATTAGAAATCTAAATAATAAATCAGAGAAAATAGATAAATAAGTACTCCATATATCATAATAGAAAAATAACAGATTTTTCTTGGGCCCTTATACCTCCCATAAAAAATAGATATCATAATTTAGATCCTTATGACTCCCAATGCTTAGCGCACATCAAATATATAAAAATCCAGATCCTTATGACTTTTTGTGTATCCCTTATAACAAAATTTACTCTAATGCCAGATCTTTACATAATCACACATTTCAATCATATATATATTGAAGTAAAACAAATACACTACAGGAAAACCCGGTATTTTTGGTAGAACGTATCCACCGGCAATACGTACGCCGGTTTGGTGCACGTCGAAAAATGTCTTTCGATGTTTCTAAGATGTCGGAAACCTTTATGGCGCACTCTCCAACGCATTACCGGCGCAAAATGTGTTAGCCAAAACGTCGCTTCTTAACAGATTATTCCGGCGTTATATACGCCAGAATTTACGACATACATATCCGACGAAAATACCAGCAGATAAAATGCCGCAAGGTTCGCCGTAACTAAAGCTACGACTTATTTTCGACGTCCTTTAGTCACCGGAAACTCCGACGGATAAGACGTTGTAAGGTGGACCGTAACTAAAGCTACGACTTATTTCCGGCGCATTTTCCGCCAGTATTTCTGGCGGAAATAAAACGCCGACATCATTGCACCGATTCGTTGTATCGTTGTTTCCGGCGTATTTCCGACGCTAAATCCGTCGGAAACCTGTAGCAATAACAAAAAAAAATTGCTTTCCGAGCCAACAATCGGATTTCTACACCTGCAAACATATACAAATAAATACAATAACAGTTCCACAACACAGATCTACACATCACAGATCTCAAGAACTTCAACATATACTTAAAAACATAAATATCTATTAAAACAGATTATTCAATAGCATCAACCAAATAATATTAAAAACATCACAGATTGTTCAATAACACAGATTCAAAAAAGTAAACATGTTCATATGACTAAACTAAACAACTCTGAATCTGTGGACTCATCCTCAGCTGGAGCTACCTCTTTTCCACTCAACTGCTCCCTCATTTTGCGCATTTCATCAAACAACTGATTGTGTTGCTCTTGCATCTATATTTGAACCTATGCTTGTAATTGAACTTATCAATCAGCTTGTGATTTTCTTACTTTTTTTAGCTCTGGTTGAAGGGCAGTTATTTGTTGACTATGTAAGGACTCATGTGAACTGGCTGCGAAGCTAGATGCAGTAGAGGAGGTCATCCCCTCGTATGCTTGAGCTTGCGAACCTAAACCATAAACTCTGCCATGTTACATTCCTCCAATGACTTACGACCAGATTTGGTACTCAGAATACTCCACAGAGTTGCTAGAAGAGCCCTCACCTAATGCGACATGACTCTCTCGAAGCCGTGTATACTCCTCATATGAAAGTAGAATATAAATATATATAATTAAGCTAAAAATAGAAATTATTAAACACATACTTACATGGGATTTTCTTGCTTGCTCATCAATCCATTGTTGATCCTCCTATCGCTTATGAGTGTGACTATGCAATTCCACAGTAGTTAGTTCTCTACCCAGCATCTCTTTGTGTTAGAATTAAGATAATTCTATTAATATTTGTATTAAAGAAAAATTTAAAAAAACATTTTAAATTCATTAC